CGGTACATCCAGGCCAGCAAGGAGGAGGGTAAGAGGAGAAGCCACGCTTTCGGGGTCACCAGATGTGCCGTCTGTACCCACTGAAAGAACGAGTGGAGCAAAAGGGAAACGGCACTTTCTAAAAACGAAGATGGTCCAGACGCTAAGAAACAAGCTGTCAACGCGAGCCCTGGGCAGATGTGAGGGGCCACGGCTCCGATGCCCGATGCCCGTGGAGGGAGCACGCGGTCGCCGGGGAAGCATCTGCAGGGGAAGGAGCAAACGGGCTGAGCGACTTTCTGTCGGGGTCTAATTTGGGCCCTAAAGAAGGAATCACAAATACAGATGGAAGGTGAAAGTAAAGGATCTAGAGTCACTGAGCACCTTCCCTGTGACAAGCATCTTACACATTGTGTCATCATGCTCCGTAGACTTGGCCAAGTCCGCCCAGCCGACCAGGGTCACAATGACGTTTCCAGTGCTGTCTGATCCACGTCTGCAGTCCCCTCTCTCAACACCGCCTGCAGCAGGGCAATTCTGTACAGAATCTCCATGCTGGCGTCGGTAGCAAGTAATGAGTTTTCATTTCCATGTTTTAAGCAGAAAAAGAGATAGTTAAACACTGAACAGGTCTGTGTCCCGTTATTCCTGGGGTTCCAGTGCTTACTTAGCTCATGGGTAGGGAATGTTCTCTCATTTCCATCGAGCATGACCATCAGCCTGAAGCAGCGGTGTGAAACCTCCAGACCAAGCGTTGAAATTCCTCCCATGAGCCCAAGGCCCCATGGCCCCAGACCTGCAGAGGTGCTAAACGCTAAAGCGAAAGCGGCCCAGCTGAACCAGGAATGGAGCAGGGCTTCCACCATGGCAACCAGAAGACAGGCAGGGAGGGGACCCTGGGGTGTAACGGTGCCTGGCGGCCCACCAGAGCCACACAGACACGGTTAAGGCCTCTGCTGACCCACAGAGCAGGTGTAGGAAACTCGAAAAGTATGTCTGGGATCCTCTGCCCTAGAGCAGGCATTCTGCGGTACCAGATCAGCCCCTTGTGCCAAGGTCAGGGCTTCCTGGGGGTCTCCAGTGTTGCTGGAGCCGGGTCTACCCCCAAGTTTGTGGTGGTGGTTGTGGGCTTGCTCTGTTGGGCTTATTTTCACTCCCAGCTGGGCCTTGGTGATGGTCAGAGCTGCACCTCACTCCCAGGGCATGGGAGGATGAAGGACAAGCAGGACGCAGGCTCTGAGAGGGGCTCTGGGGGGCACGTCGCTGTCCTGGCCATGCCTCTCCTCTCATGAATCCACTGGCTCGTTCGTCAAGTACTTGGCTGCCGCCTGCTCTGTGCAGGGCATGAGGCTAGGCACATGGGTGAACACACATGTGGTCACAGTCCCGTGGCATGACCTCTCGGAGGAGCCTGCAGATGAGGAGACAGTGGGGAGCCGTGCAGGTGTCAGCACCGGGAGGACCCACAGAGCCAGTGTCCAGGCAGCCTGAGTGCCAAGGCCTTCCTGAAGGAGGTGACTTCCACACACATCAAGCAGATGAGAATGGGAGAGTGGACGAAGAGGGCTGTGGGCAGACAAAGGGGACAGGAGCGACGCTGGGCAGGAGGCACAGATACCCGCTGTGCAAGGACCGTGGGGCGGGCCGGAGATGAATGGTGCTGGTGGCCCGGTGGGCATGGAGGAGCCACATAAGCTGTGTGCAGGAGCCGGGGTTCATCCTCGGGGACAGGAAGAGGCACGGGAGAACTCTGACCAGGGACGCATCGATGGAAGGCAGGGTTAGCGCCGGCCTGTTCTGACGCAACATGCATGAACGCAGTGGCAGAGAGGCTCAGAGGTCACAGCGTGTGTCTCGGCAGGACTCGTGGGACGCGAGACCCAGTGAGCAGCCAAAGATGGGCCAGTGCTCTGGCCTGGGGAGTGGATGGACGGTGGGGCCGGTCACATGGGAGCCAGTGAGAACTGGGGCGGGGCTGGGGCGAGGGGACGGGAGCCTGATCGCAGCAGGAGCACGAGGCCCGGGACATGCGCTGGACATGGGCAGGGTCATTGCAGTGCACGGGCTCGTGTCCATGTGGCAGTGGCCTGAGGGTCCTGAGCTGCAGGAGGAACAGGGAAGAGTGGGGGGCACAGGCAGGCCCCTCTGTCCCCAGCCTCGCCTTCCCACTTTTTTCTCCTCTCTTCTTGTTCCTGCAGAAGAAGGTGGCAGGTAAAGGGGGTCCACTGTGGGCCTGACGTTCACTCACTGCCCTGCCCCCTGTGCCAGGACCCCAGGTCAGCCCAGACCCCTCCTGCCCCCGCCCGTGCCTGCGAGGGCTGGCTCTGCCCGGGAGCACGGCACCCGGGAGCAGGAGGAGCAGGAGGCGGCCCCGTCCTGTAGGGAGGAGCCATTCCACCCGAGCGTGGGCACGCTGAGGACAAGTGGGAACTGAGCTCCAGAAAGGGAGGGAGGGTGGCTGCTGCCCGACCGGGACCAGCTTAGCCACCAGTGCCAGGGGCGCGACTTCCGAGTGGTTCTACAGCATCTTAGTAAACGTCTCATTTCTGATTCTTCGATTCTTTACCAAAAAATCCCATTTATTCTGTACATTCTCATGTGTGTATGTTTCTGTTCCAGCTGGTAATTTTCCTTTAGAAAAATTTCCAAAGCCACCATATCCAAAATTTTAAAATAAGATAAAACAAGCAGGTTGGGCTTCCATTGCTCCTTCTGCAGATTCAAGCAGAAGTTTGCAGTCCAGGTAGACCGGCAGATGTCACTAGCAGTTCCTTCCCTCTCCAGACAACTTTGAGACGGGAAAGCTTGGCAAGCTGCCGTCACTGAGAGAGCTGGTGGCACGGGTCTCCTGCGGCGGTGACCCTGCTTCTGCTCGTGTGTCCGCCCCGTCTCTCTGTCTCCCCCTCTCTGTCCCTCTCTCCCAACCAGGCATTCACTGGCATCTTTCCTGGTACTCCTGACTGTGTTCAACTCTACGGGCCGACCAGTGTCTCCCCAGTTGCCAGCGTCCTAGCCCAATCGGCCTCGTAATTCCCTTGAAGGGGGCCTTGAGAGGACGGGGAGGCCACATCTGAAAAAAACCCTCCTCCTGGTGACTTCATACCCAGGGCACAGGCTTTGGGAGAGAATCAAGGCAGAGCCCGCACACTCGCCAGGAAAGCTTGCCGGGTCCGCAGTTGGGATGCTCGCTCAGACGTGTTTCTTGTTTAGTCTTTCAGGTTGCCCGCGAGCAAAGAAGAGTGGCATCAGGATAGCGCAGAGCAAAGAAGACAAGGAAGACCAGGAGCCCATCAGGTACGTGTGCCAGGGAGGCCAAGACACCTGAATGAACGAGCAAACGTCCGAAAGAAAAAGAGACCATAGGTCTTAGTGGCACTCTTTGAGACTTCAATAAACTGCAGGGTCAGGTAACTTAGACCCAAAACCAGAGCACATCTGCTAATCAGCCAAAAAGCTGCAGGTGATGTCCAACAGTAAGTTGATGTCCTAAGTGACCAAAATCACAAGGAACTTCCCTCTGTCCTTGGTGGAAAAACGGCTGAATTTACCGGGAAAGCCAGATGCTTAAAGGAGGTGTTAGATATAACACCAAAGGTGAGTATTTTACTAGAGCTCTAGCTTACAGGAGCCATTTGGTTACGTCCTGCCTAGTTCAGATGCGCGACTTGAGACGGTGGTGGGCACTGAGCTTCCAGCCTGCTGGACGGCAGCCCTGCTGCTCAACGGGGACGTGCCCGGTACCAATGCCTGGCGGGGCTGGGTCACACACCCACAGGAAAGCCTGGCACCACCTTCTTAACTCTTGAATCTCACGTAATACCTTTAGAAATAAATTTTAATTAAAACCAAAGAAAAATGAATTAAAATGTAAATATTAAGATACATTAAAGTTGAACAAAATAAGCAGACAAACTCTGTAGACTGCAAACTTTGTCATTTAAAAAAAAAAATCAGGTAAAACCCGCCAGCTTTGGGGCTTGTGAGGTGCTGAGTCTGAGCTGTCCCTTCTCTGAGACACTTGTCTGCTTCTTGGCGTGTGTCCGGCCTTCACCATCACCCGTCGGGGAGAAGCTTGGTAGCACGGCAGCCTCTCGCCGAGCTCCAGCTCTAGCCGAAGATTTTCTGTTGCTTTCTGCGCCAACACTGTTCCAGGAGCAATGAGCAGATGTTATCTCTGCAGCTTAACATCTTATCTCATCGGAAGTGTATCTTATGGCCTCCAGAGAACACAGCCAAACAAATAAATATTTTGTAGCTCTTGAGAAGGACACAGATTTACGAAATCCTTTTTAAAAATAATCTCCCAACTGCCCACTGACTTTGCATTTTTCCACCAGAAAAGCTACTGTTCTGTCCAGAGCAGTGTCTTTTACACAGACGCCCGTGTGTCTCTGCTGAGTCCATCTCTCTCACAGCGCGCAGGCAGGTGTCCCCGCCGAGCTCCCATCAGCTGCGGGCTGAGCCTGCTGCGAGGGTGAAACGTTTCATGTTTCCACTAGGTGGTGTCTTAGTGACGTCCTTTCTGCCTCTGTTCTCTCTTCCTCTGGCTCAGCCAGTATAGGGTGGTTGTTCTCTTTTTCCTTTATGTATGGCTGTTTTGACTTTGTTCCAAGGCCACCGGGTCTATGAAGCAAGACGATAAAGTTTGCCTCCCGTGTCCCGTGCAGGTGTCCAGTCCCTGGCTGTGATGGTCAGGGCCACATCACCGGGAAGTATGCCTCTCACCGCAGCGCGTCAGGATGTCCCTTAGCAGCCAAGAGGCAGAAGGACGGGTACCTCAATGGCTCCCAGTTCTCCTGGAAGTCTGTCAAGACGGAAGGCATGTCCTGCCCCACACCGGGATGCGACGGGTCCGGACACGTCAGCGGCAGCTTCCTGACGCACCGCAGGTGAGTGGTCACCGCCCGCCAGCCCGATGGGGCGATCCACTGGGAGTATCTCATCTGACATATCCGGCTGTGATGTGAGCAGGTTTCCACCTCTACTTCACGTGCATTTAGAAAGACACTTGTCATACTGAACTAATGAAATTCGGAGGTTTGGGGAAAGAAGAAAAAGTCTTCAGTATATTCTGAAGAGCACAAACTCTTTCAACCACACCTATATTTTAGGGGAGTGGTTTTCTATTTTTTAAAAAAAATCAGAATCCACAGGAAGAAATAGATTTTAATTTTACACATGCACACACACATACATATCTTTAGTTATTCTTGGTGAAATTTGCAGGCAGGCCCCCCTTGGGGAAAGAGGATGGCATTTGCACAGTGACCTCATGTGCAATGCCTGGGCCAGAGATGTACAAGAGAATGTCCATAAGAGCCAGTTGATCCCATTATTTTTTAATTGCTTAGTCGAAAAGGAAATATCTGCGATTAAATAATCGTAGAGGAAGAGGCCTGTTCTGTGGACTCAGAGGGTGCTGGATGGGCTCATTGTAGTGGACAAAACCTCAAAGGCTAACAGAATCCATTAGGCTCCCCCAGCTTCGTGGAAACCAGCTGGAGAGGACGATCAGGAGCAGACACGGGTGCAACATGCACACGGACAGTGGCAGGTCCCTTGGAGGGATTTTTCAGGATTCCCTTCTGCTTCTCTATCAAGCTACTTTCTGCAAAACACACACACATGCATCTGAATCTATCTATAGAAGCATGTCAAGTACAGAATGCACAGAGGCTGACAGGCAAACCTGTAGGAATCATGGTGTGTTCAGGAGTATGTGACCCTGACCCTTAAAAATGTTTAAGGAGAATTTTTTTTTTAATTATTAAAGAAATTTCTGCTCAGGCAAAAAGTTGAAACAGTATAAATGGGTTTAAAGAGGAAAAACTGAATGTGCTTTCCCAGTCCCAAAGGCAGCTGTCCCCACCGTCTTCTTTTAGAAACTGCCCTGAACACAAATGCACACGTGCGATGAGGACACACACACATGGACACACACGTGCCCCTGCACCGTTCGCTCCACTCTTACACAAACAGCTCATAGTGTCCCCCAATCCCTGCACAGGCACAAGGGCCTGGCTTGCTCACGGTGTACTCCCAGGGCCAGCAGGCAGCAGGCATCCCCGGTGGGGGGATATGTCCTGTGGAAGCACAAAGCTGCCCTCCCACACGTACAACCACCTGTCTGCTTTCTAGACTTGAATGCCACAGAGAACTCCCCAGCAAACTTCCATCAGCACACATCTGTGTGTCCTTGTGCAACCCCATCTTCAGGAAGCATTCCTGAAATCAAAATTTAAAGTTTTGGCAGCTAGTGCCAAAATGCCCACCACAAAATTCCTATTTCCCCAAATCTTTGGCTCTTAATACATTTTTTTTAAGCTTTAAAAACCCAGCTCATATGACATACGTGTACGTGCATACATGTTTTGCTAATGTGACCCCAATAAAAACAAGTTCCATTTCTCTGATTAAACGCAAGCATGCTTGGGTCCCACCCACTGTTCTGGGGACGGGCCTCTGCCGAGGCGTCGCCATCCGGGAAAAATCTCTCCTCATGCTTAGATTTTATCCATGTGAGTTTGAGAAGCAAATATATGGTATGAGATGTGTGGTGTTTACACTGATTTCCATACATTTGGTGGAATTGGCGTATTCCGATCAGGAGACTAACCGCATGTCAGGAGGCTCCGTATCCTAACAGCTCATTCGGGAGGAAGAGCCTGGAGCTTGGGGACCACAGAGGTCAGGGTACAGGAGCACACCCCGCCTCAGCCCCATCCCCAGACATCCCCCACCCACCGAGTCTTTGTTCAAGCCCTTGTCAGCCTCCCCTTGGTTCCCCTGTCCCGTTTCTCCATCCCACGGGTCACGTCTCCCCAGGGTCTCTGCAGAGTGGAGAGTTTGTTTAAATGCATGCACTGGCGGCAGTCTCAGGGCTGGGCCATACTCAGTGAGAGGCCACAGCTCGCGGGCTCATGCCACCGGACAATTTCCACACCAGAAGCCCTCAGTCCAGAGCTCCGGGGGCCTGGCCTCCACTCAGTAGCCACTTGCACTTGCCTCAGGCCTCAGCAGATTCCCTCTTTCATGGTCCCAAGTCCCTGGAGAGTCATACAGGTCCAGGGAAAGACAGGAGTGACCCTACCCCAGCCCGAATGCCCTGCCCCGAGCACCCCGCACAGCCTGGAGGGCCACAGCTTGTGCTAGGAACGGCCAGCCCTGGGCTTTAGCATTCTACATGTGAAAATCTCAGTATCTCAGACACGATTCCTGTGAGGTGTCCCACCTTAGGCTGGCAGAGCTACACTGAGACGCGGACGTGTTATTCCACCTGAACGCACGATCGGAATTCTCTCAACTGCCAGTGCGGTCACCTCTGAGGAGGTAAAAAGAAGCTGCCACGTGTCGACACTGGGCTGGGCAGCGGCACCTGTCTGTAGGCATGAACATGTCTGTGCATAACGGGAAAACTGAGGGAAGAGGACACGTGGTGAGAGAGAAGGCAAAACACGAAATGTACCATCTTAGCCATTAAGTGCATGGGTCCGTGTGTTAAGTTTACCTGTTGCTACGACACCAATCTCTGGAACGATCTCCTCCTCCCAAACTGAAACCCTGTCCCTTTAAACACTAACTCCCCATCTCCCTCCCCAGTCCCTGGAGACCACCCTTCGACCTTCTGTCTCTATGAATCTGGTGACTCTAGGGACCTCG